AGTCGTACCCGCGGCTGTTGCGCTGCTGCTGGGTAGCGACTCGGTGCTGTAGCGAGCTGTCGCGCGGCGGAGTCTCTGTGGTGACCGGCAGGTGCAGACGCATGCGCCGGCCGTGCAGGAGCGCCGAGGGTGACTGACCGGTGGTGCAGTGCGGGGTCGCTCGGTACAGAGCGAGGCGCTGTCGCACGTGTCCGCTGAAGCTGGCGGCCGTCCGCGACTGCAGCTGTGTGGCCTCCTTGAGCCACACCTTCACCTCTCGGTTGAGCCGCTCCACTGCTCCGTTTCCGCGCGGCCAGTAGACGGCAGACGTGTGGTGTCTGATACCGCGCTGGGCCAGATACTGTCGGAACTTGTCGCTGGTGAACTGGGGTCCGTTGTCGGTCACCAGCTCGTCACACAGTCCCTCTCTGGACCAGGCCTGGCTCAGGAACTGGATGACGTCATCAGTCTCGATGGATGACGTCAGAGCGACCTCTGGCCACTTACTATGGTAATCCGTCATAGTAATGGCGTACTTTGCAGACGGTGGGGCGCCGGGGATCGGGCCCACGATGTCCAGTCCGAGCTTAGACCAGGGCCGGTCTGGAAGCTCGACCGGTTGCAGCGGCGCGGGGCGCGCCTGCTGCGTCAGCACGGCGTCCTTTGCGTGGCAGGACGGGCAGTCGGCGACCAGTGCAGCGGCGTCCTTCGACATTCCAGGCCACCAGGCGAGGTCGCGCAAGAGCTGCTTTGTTCGCACGACACCGTCGTGCGCTCGGTGCGCCAGTTGGAGGTACTTTGAGCGGAGCGCGGCCGGGACGACGGCGCGGTGCGGGCCGCGCAGCACGACTCCGTCCTGGCGGACTTGCAGCTCGTTCCGCACGGCGAAGTAGTCGCGCGTCTCCGGCGTGCACTGGCGCGCGGCGGCGGGCCAGCCGGTGCGGATGACAGACCGCAGATGCTCCATGACTGGATCGGCGGCCGACGCGGCACATACGTCGTCATCAGTGATGACGTCACTGACGTCATCGGTGAGCAGGGCGACGATCTCGTCGCCGTCCGTCTCGGCGGCGCCGGTGTCCGGCAGCGGCAGGCGCGACAGGGCGTCAGCCACTGGGATGCTGCGCCCGGGCCGGTACTCCACTGTGTACGAGTACGGCAGCAGGCGGGACTGCCACCTGGCGATGCGCGCGCCGGCGCGGTTGGACGTCTTCGGCGTGAGCAGAGTGGTGAGCGCAGAGTGGTCCGTCCGCAGGGTGAATGAACGGCCCCACAGGTACGTCCGCCAATGCTCGACAGCATTGACCGCGCTGAGGGCTTCCTTCTCAGAGACGGAGTACCGCGACTCGGCGTCGGTGAAGGAGCGGGACCAGTACGCCACTGGCCGCTCCTCGCCGTCCGGCTGGATCTGAGTGAGCATGGCACCGGCGCCGCGGTCGCTGGCGTCGGTCGTCACGATCGTCCGGAGGCGGGCGCTGAAGGGCTTCATCACCGGCCTGGCTGAGATGAGCCGTTTCACCTCGTTGAAGGCGTCGTTGGCCTCCTTGGTCCACTGGAACGTGGCGTCCTTCTTCAGCATGATGGCGAGGGGTCTCACCACAGCTGAGTACTGAGGCACGAACCTGCTGAACCAGCCGGTTGAGCCCAGGAGACTGCGCAGCTCCTTTACGTTGGTGGGAGGCGGGGCCTCGGCCACGGCCTTGGTGGTAGACAGGAGAGGTACCACTCCGTGTCTGGAGAGCTGATGACCGCAGAACTCCACCTCTGGCTGGCTGAAGGAGGACTTCTCTGTGTTGATGGTGACATTTGCCTGCTTGAGGCGGTCCAGCACGGTGCGGAGGCGCCTGTCGTGCTCGGACTGATCACGGCCGGTGACCAGGATGTCATCCAGATAGTGTCCACAGCCGTCGATACCCTGCAGTAGATGACTGAGCAGCTTCTGGAACGCGCTGCCGCTAGACACCAGGCCGAACGGGACCCTGGTGTAGCGCATCAGGCCGTCTGGCGTGAGGAAGGCGGTGATGTCACGCGAGTCCTCGTGCAGACGCAGCTGGTGGTAGGCCGACTTCAAGTCGATCCTGCTGTAGAGGGTGCCACAGAGCTTGGACTCCAGCTCGTCGATCGTGGGCAGTGGGTGAACCTCTGGGACGATTTGGCTGTTCGGCCCACGCAGGTCTACACAGACCCTGATCCTGCCGTCCTTCTTCCTTGAGACGGTCAGCGGGCTGATCCACTGAGAGGAGTCGATCCTCTCGATGATGCCTGCTTCCAGCAGACTGTTGAGCTCTGCTGAGACCTCCTCTCGCACGGAGAGGGGCAGCCGGCGCAGCTTGTAGGCAGTTGGTACTGCGTCCGGCTTCAGCTTGATGCGGTGCACGTAGCCCTCGATGGCAGGTAGCTCTGACGGGGCTGAGCCTGCCACCGTGTAGACGCTGTGCGAGGCTGGGTGGAGGGTGACTCCCAGGGCCTGCAGCAGGTCCATACCCATGATGGCCTCCGTCTTGTTGGTGTCCACCAGGTAGAAGTTTGTTGGCACAGCCTGATTATTGTAGGTCACCGTGGTAGGCAGCGTTCCCAGGACTGAGAGTGGCTGCTGGCCGAATCCGTAGAGCCGTGAGCTGGAGGGGCTGAACGCCACGCCTCTGAACAGCTCCTTGGCACGGTTCACACTCAGGAGTGAGCAGGTGGCACCCGTGTCCACCTGGAGGGGTACCTCCTGTGTGACGTCACCTGCAGTCACCTGGACGGTACAGGTGAGGCGTGACCCAGTGGTGGCAGCACAGGAGAGCACGTTCAGCTCCTTCACTGCCTTGTGGTGCTGTCGTTGAGCTGGCCTTGCTGGGGTTGCTCCACTGCCGCCTCTGCACCAGCTGGCGAAGTGGCCCTTCTTTCCGCAGGAGTGGCAGGTCACTCTGCGGGCTGGACAGGCAGCATCCCTGGGTGCGTGGTCCTCACGTCCACAGTTGGTGCAGAAGTCGCTGCTGACGCTCTGCTGCTGCTGCTGCTGTCGCTTCTGTTGTGGCTTCTTCGTAACTTTTGCCACGGATGAGACGGGTGGGGCTGCAACTGGTTGGGAGATGGCTGCAGCCTCCCGCAGGGAGTCCTCATAGGTCTCTGCGACACTCAGGACCTTGTCCAGAGTGAGGTCCCTGTCCTGAAGAAGTCGCTCCCTCAGGCGCTGGTGGGGGGTCTTCTCCACCACCACGTCCCGGATGAGTTCCGACTCCATTGCGCCGAACTGGCAGGTGCGAGCCAGGCCGCGCAGAGCAGCAACGAAGTCTGCTGTGGACTCTGTGGGGGCCTGGGCTCGCTGTCGGAACCGGAATCGTTCCACGATGACGTTGGTCCTGGGAGTGTAGAACTCCCGGAGCTGGCGGAGGGTGACGTCGTAGTCATCCTCGCCGTCACGTTTCGCAACCGGCGGCAGGGTGTCGAACACCCGGTACGCCTCGTCACCGATCGCGCACAGAAGCAGAGCGCGCCGCTGCTCGGGGGGCAGGGGGCTCGTGCCGCACCTGGCCAACAGATAAAGTTCGAATTTTTGTTCCCAGTTCCTCCACGGGACGGCCGGCGTCCCGGGATGGGGCAAAAACGGCGCGGGTAGGGGCGGTCCACTGTCGCCGCTCATGGCCGTACCGCGGGCCGAAACACAAAAAAAAGTTACACGGAAATTCGCGACACGCGATTCCACTAGAGTCCGCACTTATCTCGTGCTTAGTCGCCAAAATGTAGTGTTATGGAATCCGAACTGATATCTGTTGTATACAATGGCCAGGTGGAACGTAAACTGTATTTTACACAAAATGGCGGAGTCACGTGAGGTCGTGTGAAAAGCACTAAACAACTGCCATAGCGAACACTACAATAGCAACAGGCGAGATTACACAGTCCCAGTCCTAATCTAATCGTATGTGAAAGAGAGGGAGGGGAGAGAGAGAGAGAGAGAGAGAGAGAGAGAGAGAGAGAGAGAGAGAGAGAGAGAGAGAGAGAGAGAGAGAGAGAGAGAGAGAGAGAGAGAGAGAGAGAGAGAGAGAGAGAGAGAGAGAGAGAGAGATGGACTGGACTGGACTGGACAGACAGACAGACAGACAGACAGACAATCAAATATTGATATAGGACCAATAGAAGGGAGCGGCCATTTATTGGAACAATCACAACAGTGCAACTGCAAGGAAAGAAATCGAACACTCTACCGTCTCGTCGGGTGCGGCTACTTACATTCAGAAGCACTACCTCCCATGGTACTAAATAACCCGTGAACCAGATCCTCCAGAAGTGAAATGCAGGCGGAACGCCGTGGTCCGTCCTCCAATCACTATTCACGTTCACAGCGTTTGTCAGGAGTCTTGCGGCACAGTCTACGCACAGGCGCTCACTTCCAACCGACCAGTCTGACATCTAGCGACCAATCTTTGCACTCACACTTCTTGGTATAACCTCTAGAGGCGCTGTCAACCAGCCTGTACTGAACAATCATACGGCAGCTGTATTGGAACAGGCCACAGCCGAGTTCCAACGACATCACTGAACAGTGAATAAACAATAAACAACAATAAACAGTTTACCATTCATACTTCAAGTTCAAAGCCACAGCGGCCGACTTCTTGGCTATGGCGAGCACCACTTCCAGGTGCACTCTCGAACGCCTAAGGTCATCCAGCCTGTCCCAGCGCCCGCTGCCACAATTCACAAATATTGTGTGGAACGTCTTTTCGCCCAGACCTGGACCTCATGTGCCAATTGCTGGAAAGTTTTCTGAAAATACGCTGGTGTAGGATAGCCATAAAAATCAGATGCCTTCCCATGGAAACGTGCAAAACATCGGGGGTGGAGAGTGGAGACTTCCATTTCGTGTCTAGCTCGACGAGTCTTGCTGGACGGCGGCTACGTCTATCTGGCGACAGCTAACTTTAGACGCGTCTAGCTTGAAAGTCCCCGTCCAACAGTTAGACGCCAAGTTAGACGCCAGTGGAAGTCTTCATCCCGGATGTCAGCATAACTCACACTCATTAAAAAACGTGTAAGGTAAATAATATATTTTTATTTCTGGTCACTGCCATTAAATATTACACATTCATTTCATACAAGTATCAAATAAAGCGTACCGGTAGTGGCTCCTTAGCTTTATGCTGATAATTAAGCATGAGACTGAAAGCAATTCGTATACAAAAATATACATAACGCACGTCCAGGGCTCTCTCATACGGAGCGTCTAGTCTGCTTGGACACCAAACACCGCAGCGCAGCGCTGGTCTAGCGGCGAGCGCTGACGACCGACTGGGGACGGAGCCAGGCAGCAGCTCGGAGCGGCCGGACGGCCTCAGCCAGCCCGGCCGCCAGAAAGGACGGATAGCGGAGCACACGACCGGCCCACCGCGCCCCAAACAGCCCACTCACGGAATGATCGCCGTCACACAAGCTCAGAAAATGCACATAGAAAACAAATCGACCGACAGTGCCGACAGAAAGACGAAGACAAAACCAAGCTGGGTAACTTAGTCTACGTAATTAACTAGGACCCCTGCATACCGACGCATACATCGACAGTCAAACTACAAAACAGTTACCATGGCAACTTCTGCCACACAGGACGCGAGCAGCGTCCAGCTCCCATCCCGTTTTGGCAGCACAGATAAAATTTGAATGCCTCGCAGCGAGACGCTGGCGCAGGCTGGGGGGCGGAGCAGTTAGTCACATGCGTCCAACGTTCCAAATAGTCGGCGAACGCTAGAAATAAACTCGATCTCTTCGATACATAATTCCACAACCACTATGTACAAAACACCGGCGTCCATCACAGTTCTTCTGGCGGTCGGCCGCCAGCGCAGACATCCGCCTTGAGCCCCACCTACCAACGGCACCACACCGGCCACCGCTTCCTCCAGCGTGAGGACACACGCGGCATAACACACCAATGTCTCAAAATTTGTCGATTTGGGTGGGAAATGACATCCAAAGGAAATCCATTTTCCACTCTCACCACCAATTTTTAAGAACAATTTTCCACTCCCAACCAAGAAAACCTAGATTTTTTTACCTCTAGAAAGAGCGGTTGTGTGAATGCCCGGTTTAGCATCAAACATTCTACATCCTAGAATAAAATCCATGTTTTATGGCGTTTCTCCCTCTTTTTGGATCTAATCGAATCAGCAGTTTTCCACTCTCTCCCCTCTTTTTGGTGGGTAATTTTCCCCTCTGACACCCCAGACAAAACTCAATTTTGGGACACTGTAACACACAGTCCTGTTAGTAGCACCACACTCCGCCCGTCGAGCCGGGTAGCAGCCCAACGATCTCCACAACCAGCACCATACGACCTACAGCCGAGCCTCCGAGACCCAGCTCTCACCCACTAATGCAGCGTCCTCGGCACAACTCTGAGCAGCTCAGGATTCACCGGACCGCCGCGTGACGTCACCATGGCTCCCGTGACGTCACAGAGGCAGTCGGCCTCTACAGTTCGTCGTCGCCGATCTCGTCGAAGGCGTTGTTTTCGACGGTGCGGTTCGACGCCAGACTGATGCGGCCCACCAGATTTAGCTGCGAGAGCTTGTTGGACAGCTTCCGGAACGAAATGCCCGAGTCGCAGTCCTAAAAGAAAATCCATGAAATGAAAATCACGTCATGGTTAACAGGGTACACGCACCAAGCAGTTAAACTACGCCTACATTGCTGTGAATTTGCCGCCTGACAAAGGCTTTTTGAGCAGACAGAGATGCAATATCATAGAATTAGTTTCGAAAACATCGTACTGCTAAAAAATCTACTTTGGACATTCGCACAAGTATCAGAGTCATGATTACGCAAGTCCCTGCATTATTACCCCTGAATATGAATTACATTAACAGCTCACACGGGTCAGTTCCGAGATAAATTTAATCATCGGTCCGCCAGCTCCCACTCGCCAACGTATCAAATTACCCACGCCGTCACCTGCTGACTCACAGAGCCACCCTGCCGGCGCCGCCGCAACTCACCACGTGCTCAGAGTCCCCGGCGCCGGACCGGGCGTTCACGTGCTGCAGGCTACCGTCCCGCGTCAGGTAGTTGAAGTTCACATTGTGGACCTTCTCTCCCGGCTGGAACAAACAAGGTCTCGTGTTACAAACCGATATCATTGTCACCTACGATCTATGCGGTTTCTCATGAAGCCAGTCGCAAAATTCACAGGGCAACATAAGCGATACATGAACCGGATTTACGACAGGCACCAAAGAGATGGAAAACAAACAAAGTGGTTCGCTGAGGTGCGCAGTGCCCACTACCATTCCTTCTCACTTTCCCCTCCACCGATTCCAACTACCACTCTTACATCTGAGCCGTCCGTCTGTCAACCAGTCGAGATCGATTCTGACACCCATGCTATGCACTAACCCTGGGAATGCCGAGTCCCTTTCGACGTCGGAGCAGCTCCTCGACCAGCGCCTGCAGGCAGACGGACATGAGCACAGCCTGCGGCGAGGCCAGCCGCACCCACTGCAGCTGATCGCGCGACATCAGGTACTCGAAGCTGAGCTCCAGCTGCGGCCCGGTCGGCCCGGCGGCGGCCGACGACGGGCCGGCGCCGCCCGCCTCGGCCGGCACCGGCTCCACACTGGAGATCCGCCAGCAGCGCATACGGGTCACCTTGAAGCTGCCCTCGCGAACCGTGTTCCGGGCGCCGCCCTCACCGGGAGGAATCCTGTGGAGACAGAGGGCAGCGAGTTAGGGAGATAAAGGGAGCACAGGTCGAGGAATCCGGCTTTCCTTCGACAAGGCGGTCAAAGTGCCACGCCGAAATAAAAATGCGCAAGACATTATTAAAACAATTTTTATTGATCTAAAATGAATTTCTATGATACGTACTGAACACGATTCGTTAACGGATTCTCCCAAGTCATCAAAACACTTCATATGGTTTTAAATCCATTCGACATCAATAAGCCTTCACGCACCTTTTCTATCACTCAACAACCAATGAATCATAGCAGCAAAAGGTACACGACTACGAATACGCATCAATGACCCCAGTTCCCGTTTTGCCAACCCACCCATTGTTCCCCATAGAGATCTTATATACATGTATATAAGATCTCTATAAGATCTTATATAAGATATAAGATGTATATAAGATCTCTATGTTGTTCCCCTCTTACCGAATGTTGAGCTCCTTGTTTCCGATGCTGACCCTGGCTCTTGTGCCCGCCACGGGAAAGTCGCACGTGCACGGCTCGAACTGCATGTAGCCGTAGAAGGGCAGCTGCTGCGCCAAAGCAACGTACTCACGTTTGTTGCCCTTGGCCTGACGAAGAGACAAAAGACACGTTTTTAATCGTAACATTGATCGTACGTTTTATTAGTAAACTGTCCTTGCTTTTCATCAGTACTGAACTGTTCAGAAAAGTATATAATGATTAAAAGAGAAACGCGCCTTATCCGATAAGAACAGCCTGTAAAACGTTGCTTCAAATTGTATTAAGAAATTCACCCTGCGTAGCAATCCCAATAACCACCCAGCGCCGTCCGTCCGCATCCCTATTCTCCTCTTCTCATCTGCCTTAAATGCATCTCCGCCCCCCCCCCCCCCCTCCACTGCCGTCCGTACCTGCAGCATGGTGAGCCGAGCGCGAGTGTCCGTATCGGCAGACATCCATCCCCACTCCACCTCACTGACGGTTTGCACGTACAGCAGGTTACGGCCCACCGTGTCCTCCAGCAGGTCGGCGTCGTACGACGTGTCCCAGTAGCTGGCGGACAGAGAGGGAGGAAAGTTAGCAACGGAAGACGTGTCCCAGTAACTGGCGAGCAGAGGAAATAAGTAAAGTTAGAAGGAGACGTAAACTCCGGTATGCAACAAGTATATGTACAGCAATCCGGTATATACAATACACAGTTTCCTACACAAGATGGTCGGATGGATGATGTACGCAGCGTATGCGGGGAAGAGTGAGATACACCGACGAGGTAGTGGCATAGTTGCGAGGTACGTGGGCTCGGGGAAGGATGCCAATATGACGGCGTCGTTCGATAGTCATCAACCAGGGGATGTGTGCAGAGGAATACCTTTCCCGCGCTGCTGATGCAACCTTCAATCCAATCATGACTCCCATCCCCAGGCCAAAATGTCAGTGCAGTTGACAGACAACATGAGCAAGTAATCAATCGCGACATTTCGTACACCTACCAAATAGGGGAGGGGAGGAGAGGCTGTCCTGTGTCACCTAACGGTCAGAACACATGATAAATAGTTCTATATCAAGTACTACATACAAGGAACTGCGCAGTGCGCACGTATACATAAAACTGGTTGAAACCGGAAAAAGCGACACCAAAAGTAGTCAGATGACAGTGATAGCAATGGCGAAGGTCGCAGTGGCACAAAACAAGGTCGCGTTTTGCATTCTAACATTTCAGCACGTGTGTGAATGTTACATTAGCAATGCACGCAGCGATGATAAAGAGCGTGACCATGTAGCCAACATGTCACCCATTATTTGCCATCAAAATTTCAGATTAACCCGCGCCCGGCTGGGGGTCCTGGATTTCCACGCCCTGCTGGGGGGGGGGGGTGTTTGAACACCCCCCCCCCCCTGTAACTCGGCTCCTGGGCCACGTAGCGATACGCGGAAGGCGGCGTTCGAAAGAGCGTAAAAATAATGACGAAATTACTTCAGTCAATTTTTTGGTCAGGTCAAAGGTCAGGTCACCAGAGGTCATTGAAGGCAAAATTTCGCCGATTTCCAGGTCAAATGTCGAAAAGTTGCAAGAAACCAACGCATAACTCGGGAACCAATAGAGCTACAGCGCCGCGGAAAAGCGCATTCGATAGCCCTATTAACGCCCTTTCTGAGTAATTCTCTCAGATTTGACCTAACGTCAACGGTTTTGCCTGCAGGGGGCAAAAACTGCAAAAATAGCCTATTTCTTCGGAAACAGTTTTTCTGCAATAACTTTTGACCCAAGCCTTGTACGAGCTTAATTTTACCGGCATTGTGTTCCTCTCGTCGAGACGCATCGAATGAACTGTAACTTGACCTTGAAAGGTCAACTTGAAAATTTGACCTCAGGTCAAGGTCATGACCTGACCGGAAAGGGTCATGTTGCATATCAGTCGATCCGTATCGTCGAGATGAACACATAAAAGGCGTTTTCATCGCTCTAGCATGCCTCTATCAAAAGTAATTTGAGAAAAACTGTTAGATACCATTCGTGACCTAAGATGACCTCAGAGCATAAACAGGGGTCACGGACACCATTTTCATGTTCAGTGTGTCTAAACCACTTGTAATTCGGTGTTTGGGAGTGTTTATAATGCCTTTCGTCCAAAACAGACCCATTTCAATTTTCTCCCATTGACTTATAATGGGGAGGTCGCAAAATTGACCTGACCTTAGGTCATCGATATCAAAATTCTGAGATATACATTTTGTACATGCTATTGCTCTTAGCAATCGCTGAAAGTTTCAAAGAGATCGGTCACTCGGTGTAGCTATGACAGACATTGAAACTTTTTATGAGGTGAGGTCACTTCAAGTGACCTGGTGACCTGACCTTGAATGACCTTGGTCTGAAATTTTCAAAACATGTGTAGAATTGATGTATGATAAGGTGTACCAAAATCGGCGGCGCTCCGCGCCGCCGTTTTTGAACTATTCGCGAAAAACCACAAGGGGGGGGGTGTTCAAACACCCCCCAGCAGGGCGCGGTTTAACCTACGAACCAACTACACTCAGCCGTGTGTACCGGTGCCTGGTACGAATGCTTTGATTCAAGCACCGAGACGACGCTACTGACTTTTTCCGGAGCACAATCCTGTGTTCGGGTGTGTGTCCTGCCGTGCGCAGAGAGATGAACGGTGCCTCGAAGTCATGCAGCTTCCGAACGACTGTGAACAGACAGATTAGAGGTCGTTGGTCGCGTGGGAATTAACGCAAATAGCGTGTCACAGTTCTTACACAAAGGGTTAATTTCAATGTTGCTCCATGTTTGTCACAATACCAGGTCAACATTAGCAAAACTGTAGTGTGTTGCAGAAATGCCACACAATGTAATCAGCATCACTTAGCACAGCTGTTCATGATGACTTACTTGTATAGCTCTCTTCGGTCTTCTTCATCATAAACAAACCAAAGTAGTATGTGAGACGAGGAGGAAGATTAATCTGCTGACATGTTTTCTGCAAAAGAGCAATGTTGCACGTTAGCTGAAATAGCATGGAAGAGTTTTACAACACTGGAGAATCAAGCAAAAACAAAAACAAAACAGCACAAAACGTAGAAAGTGGCTGATGTTATGAAGAGCAGCTGGAGTCAACTAAAGATAATAATTAGGTAGATTAACATTTGGCTAAATTTGGCTTAACCCCCGCTATGTCGGGGACATATGAAAACCGAAGGTAGGTAGGTCAGGCGAGGGTTAATAAACAAACGAAAGCCTGAAATCAAAGGTTTATACCTTATAAGAAGAGCATAGCAGAACACCCAACAGCGTTGAAGCATAATGCTAAATAGTCTCACAGCACTCAGCGAATAATGTTAGTTTATGCCAAAATAAAATTTCCCTTTTAACACTGATGTCGCCGGCGGCCGGGGCCCAGCAATTTGACCTTGTTTATAAAAAGCCAGTGTCCTGATTTTCGTGAATTTGGGTGGAAGCCCACACCCGAACAGACTCTCTTTGTGACGTCCCGCAAAGCCAAACGACGTCCCTGACAGATAAAAGTTGACAGGTATATCAAACACCAAAAGCAAACTAACAAAAAGAAATATCACATCTGTGGCCTAAAAACACGGCTATGCAAAATGACAATAAATATATCCCAAGGCCTCACAAACCCACTCTTATACTCAGCTCCCCTTTCCTACACCGCTGGCCAGCTGCCGCAACAGTAAACAACGCGGTTTTATTTTCGTTTTCTGTGCGTCAGATATGGATAGGTTTTTTCCTTTACCATGTGAAGGTAATAGCTGCCATATGAAGGAGGAAAAGATGTCGGAATAGAGGGATCTGAGGACGTCTTTTTCCACTTTTCAGTTTTAGTAACTGTGCAGTGTATAGATAGCAATTAATCATGCGAATATATTGCTTCGACATTTATCTATAAGTACACAACATACCTTTTGTATCAAATCACTGTAACATATTTAATTATTTTCCCCTCAGAAGGTCACAGTAACGGGGTAACGCTGCCCCTTGAACATGCCCTTCAAAAGTAGTTAATTTTGCATATGTTGATAGTGGTTGGGGAAAAAGTTTGTGTTTATTTTGTTTGAATTAAAATAAAATTACCGAATTTCAACAGTTTTAATTAAAGTAGGTCGTCCTTGGCTTAAAAATACACGCAATGTTGGGGACGTCTATTGACCTTGTCATTCCCATTTATTCGACGTCGGTACAAAACTGAAAAGTGCACAATGATTTCACATTTTTTCCAGCCAAGAAAAATTCAGCGTCTACCTTGGAGTTTTCTTAATTGAATTTCATAACAGGAAGCTATGGAAATTAATTTTCCGAACTGTTTTTCATCTCTTTGTTTGGACGTCTGTTTTTTACGTCACTCCTCTTGCTCGATATAATATCCCTCTTATGACGTCAATATTTAGTGATAGCCGCTGGCTCTTGGGCTGATTTTTGTTGAAGCATATTTGTTGACTGTTTTGTACGATCATGGACAAGAACTAAACTTCAAAGTGTTGTTTTGGTGTTTGTGGTGAACAATTGAATTTTGTATTGTACTAGGGGTAAACTGGCATTGCTTTGTGTCTATATCTGATCATTTGAGGTGCCTTGAGGTGCTATTAGTCAAAATTGCTAGTAAAAATCGCTAATTTTAAGAGATTTGAGGGATCTTCAGTGGCTTAGGCTCCGCACCGATATCGACGTCCTTTTGAAATAGTGACGTCCTTGCGGCTTCAATCACACTCTCCGAAAAATCAATTTCAGGACACTGTAAAAAGCGTGCATCCTATTTCGAGGAACCTTACAATATTTCTTATATATGACATCCGCGATTGTCATAATTCAACAACGAGAGGTCTCCCTTACGATTATTCGCATATTTGCTTAACATTATCAAGTGAAATTTACCCCCCAAGAAGGACGTCACGTGACTCCACAGTCCACACTGCACAACATGCACCGCCCACCTCCTTCAGGACACAAGCTAAGACAAACACTCACCTCGAGGACATCGTCTGTCTGCAGTGTAGAGCTGGCCGTCACAGAGATCCGGTAGTTGTTGAGCAGGTACACGTCCAGGGTGACCTGCTCCGGGGCAGCGCTCTGCGTCTCCAGCTGCGCCGACACAAGGAAGCCGTTGAACACCTCGCTGCTGAACACCTTGCTGTCCTGGGACACTGCGAGAAAGACGGTGGACACGCTGACGCATTGATACGCTGCAGATCGGCACCACTCAAACAGACAGCTGAAGCTGGTGGGACGTGGAAGGTAATATTTAGTCTGGCTTGGTTTTCGGTTACACGGCGGTACGTGAATGGGTTGGTCTTCGGGCACACGTCAGTGCGTGAACGAGTTGGTCTTCAGTTACGCGTCGGTACATGAATAGGTTGGTCTTTGGTGACACGTAGATCCAGACTATCGGGACATCGACATTCCTACGACTATCTTCATAAAACTTTATAACTGGGTGGACAGATTTCACAATTGTTGCGCTCGACATTCAATTTTCTGCTGCAAAATGCATTGATGACTAATAAGCATGAACGACTCTCAAAGATACGACAGCTGTTCCCGAAATGCCAACACCTCTTCCAAATAGCAAGACCCTCAGCAACCACCACCAACACATATGTATGGCCCACCCGATTCGCCCATCATTCTCCGGCCGCTGTTATCATACCGAGCTGAAGGTAGCGCTCCAGCAGCATCCGCCGCTCTTCGACCTCCTCAGAGTTGAGGTGCAGCAGCTTCTTTGGCGGGAAGGTGGGCAGCGCGCGCGCGCCAAACACCCGCTTCAGCTGATCGTGCAGACAGCTCAGCTGACGGTAGCGCACCACGCAGTGCAGCTTGCCGTCCGCGTGGATAGTGTACCCCTGTATGGATCAGACAGAAGCGTGACGTAAAAGGAGCTCCACAGACAACGGCATCGGGAAATAGACTTGAAATCAGAGACCAAATGGTTCAGAAATGTCTCGATATAAAAGAACATGGCTGAAAAATAAATAGACCAAGAGTCCAAGTTCATATTGCAAACAAAAACTATACTAGTGACTAGTGTACCACTTCTTGTTTCATGTAAAAAGCACACATCTGAATGTCTAGCTGATGGGTTGAATGTTTTGAAAAGTTTTCAAGTAAGTCAAGTAAAGTAGTCAATGTTTTGTAAGCAAATGCTGCCATAACAGATCATATGACAGCTAGCAAAACATTTACAAATTTAGCTAGACTCTCAGCCAGTGGAACTATTTTCAAAACACAACCAACATTATCTGACAGGCACGACACTGATTTTTCTAATGCTACCATCCGTGACCAGATGTCAAGGTATGCTGTCACTCCATAGCAGGCTACACAATATCTTCTTAAGCTACCACCAGAAGAATAAAATCCATCACAGCTGTCAGCTACAGCACACACCCAGGAAACTTCCTTCATTTCAAACAAAAAGTGTTAGTTGGGTTTTCACTATCCAAGCAATCATTTAAAAAATTGAGAGAACCAGATCAATGTCATGCAAAATTGAACACAGTGGTGTGGCCCATAGTTGGGGAAAATGGCTAAACTTATAACTAATAAGAACTGCAAGAAAACAAAAAACTCTTAAGGGCCTATGAGCATATCAAACTGGAACCAAGTGCATGCTGATTCATTCTGTGGATCAGCTATGGGGTAGGCATAGCTTTGGTATTCAATACATTTAATACATTGTGAATTTCATGAGATTTTGTGGCATATATGCTGTCAGAAACAGCTGTCATTAGTAACTAGAAAATGCTCACTAGACTTATTCAGGATAAGATCACAAGCAACATGCTCCTAATATAGGCCATTGAGCTGATCAGCTTTGGGGCTTGGGATTTGGGACTTAGGAGTTCGCATTCTGGTAAGTGGTAGGCCAAGACCATGACACATATTAGTTAGGTAAGGCCTCTAAAACATATCAATAAGGTGAGCAGATTGTTTTGTGGGTATCAGCTCAGTTTTTAGAGCATCCTACTTGGTGAACTAGAATTATAAGTGTGAATATTCTGTTACCTGGCACTAGATATTATCAAACCTCTCTTTCTCCATCAGCCAACTGCAGAAACTGGGCACCTTGTGTCGATGCTATCACACACATTTTTGCTAAGTCAAAGTAGGAGTGGAGTAGAGGAGACTATTTGTTAGGGGTCCTCATCCTGTTTGGCAAAATGGATTTATACAGAGAATCCCTTGAGTTGAGGCCCAGAAATTATCAGGTATGAACAGGCTTAAAGCTGTTGGTCGATAGCCTTCACAGAAAATTCTTCAGGAAGTCTGTTCCTTGTTGAAAACATTCTCTAAGAGCACAAATTACATGCATAAACTGAGCATAAGTTAACTTTTGACAGCACATGTACCTATTTTCTCTACCTTACAATAAAAAACTCTCTTAAAATGAATAAAAAAATTGAGAGTACCCATTTGTAAATGAATAACCATACTCACTACCTAGTCTGGTATTGGCATGTAAGTTGCACAAACATTCCATCGGGCAGCGCATGCATACTGCATTATACTGGCGTCGGCATCTTATCAATCTACTTGGATGTAAAACTTTATCAATTATGTGAAAATAGCCATAAAAAAATGTAATACGCATTATGAATCGATTCAAGACTTTCTTATTACCTTAACAAAATTGAGAAAAATAAAAAAGTTTAGCTACAGTATCACGGTCACCTCAACCTTCAGTTTACTTACAGTAAAAGCGGCTCCATTCTTGTCCTTGAGCTCTTCAGCTTTTGGTATTGTGAAGTGCATTTTAAGATTTTGTTGGGAGGAAAAGGTTTCTTCAGTCTGCTTTCTTCACAGTAATAAATAATAACATCGATGTGTAAACCAGTGTAATCCCCTTTCCCACTTTGCAATAAAATGATAAATTTAATTGCATTTGTGGCGCGGAATGATAGTACTGGCGCACACTAAAACGCTGCAATATTAAGTAAAAAAGATGCCAAAAGAGAAAAATAACGAAAAAGACACCTGCGGACAGGACACAGTCCAGGATCAATATCAATAGTCAATGGTATTTGGAAGTACTTATACACATTACACACAAACGCCTCGAATTACAATTTACAAACAGATCAGATACTTTATTCATAGCAAATACATGGAACATGGCTTTTCATTGCAATGCGTCAAATATGTAAATACACAAGATTCAAGACACAGTGCTCAACTGTACTGGACAACGCAGACTGCTCCATAAAAATGTGCGATTTAAGCTGGTGTCGAACTTTGCGAGCGAAACGACATTTTCATCTGTGCTGCCCAGGGCTGCGGAGTCGGAGTCGGAGTCGGAGTCGGAGTCGGTCGGAGTCGACAGTTGTGACCGGAGTCGGAGTCGGAGTCGGAGTCGATTTTAGAAACCCGAGCCGGAGTCGGAGTCGGAGTCACCGAAAATCTGTCGACTCCGCAGCCCTGCTAGGTCTGCGGAGTCGGAGTCGGGAGTTGGAGTCGGTCGGAGTCGACAATTCTGCCCGGAGTCGGAGTCGGAGTCGGAGCTGGTTTTTGAAAGCCGGAGTCGGAGTCGGAGTCGCCGAAAATCCATCGACTCCGCAGCCCTGGTGCTGCCCCCCCCCCCCCGCCCTCTCCTTACCTTCGCAGAGCCTTTAGAATAAGATGGTCTCAGCCGGCAGCCCCTTTCTTTAGTGCCCCACGTAGATGGCCTCGTGTGCAGAGCGCTGAACGCCCGGACGCAACTCGGTCGCAAATGAGCCTTCCGACCAGGGCATTGTCTCCCGACCTAGTCGCATGCGGATTCTGAGTGCCTACCTATTCTCTTGCTGTTCTGGGCTGGGCAGTCACCAAAAGCCTTCCTCCGATGTGGGCAGCTCCTTGCGAACTTGAGCCGTTTGTTCACGTGCCGGGTGGGGCGACCGTTATCGTGTCTCGGTGGCCTGTCCATCATATATGTAGGGCTTTGCGTCCATCAAGATGGGCTGAGCGGCGCACCAAAGTGGCTCATGGACCCTCGCTCGGTTCTGAAATGGTCATGCTAGACCACGAAAGGACATAACATAGCAAAACGCCTTTAGCCTGTCCCGTAGCTCAGTTGGTAGAGCATTGGACTCCCGGTAGTGAGAGCCCGGGTTCGAGACGCTCCGGCGCTCGATATTTGAGACTCCTGACGGGGATGGTCTGCGGTTGGTGGGAGCAGCCGCAGCCAGTTGAAGTCAGTTGAGTGGGACAGGCCGTGTCCGGCTTTGAAGGGCACGATAAAACTTTGGCATCTAAATTCTCCCGTTACCCGGAATTGCGCGATCGGACGGTAGGGGTCGGGGTCTACGCAACAAGCTCTGCTTAGCGTGGGTTCCGGCTCTGTCAATCCGTCCATTCAAACATTCGAGCTATATTTATAAAAAAACAGCTTTTCGCTCTGTCACTCAAACGTTCACCCCAAAGAAAAGTAGGCACTGCAGAATGCAGGTGGAGTTGGGTGTCCTCACCGACTACCTGGTGGAGCTGATGACGAGGCTGCGGATGGGTTAGTCCTGAGGAAAGCAAGGACGGCCAATACATTGATCAGTGATCATTATATAATAGATGTAACCAAACGTTATGTATTAAAATATCTGATTAGGCCACACCACCATTGTACATATAGATTACCTAGACACAGAGGTAATGTAGATCGCAATTGGTCGAAAGAGATCATAAACACGAGCACACTGTAAGACAGACGCTGGACAAACTTAAATCAATTTGCAATTTACAAAAAATAGATAATTGTGACATATGTTACCCATCACCAAGCAAGCAGTGTAATGACGCACAATAACACAAGCAACATCGAATAACACATTATCCATAACGATAAAATAAATCTATCACTAAAGCCGTATCACGAGCCAAACCAAGCAGGTGCCGTCAATGCAGACACAGGATAATGAAATATCTTCATCGTATGGTTGCTGAAGATAAACAATTTACTGGTAAATTCTGAATGCATAGAAGAGGAAACGAACCGCATCTCTTATAATTAATTGCAATAAAAGGGGAGCGGCTACACACACACACACACACACTGCACACATCGTAACATAAGACAGAAAGTGCAGTGGCTAGTGCAACATCAACACCAGAAGGTACACCACAACACTCGAGTACATGAGGCCCATTGTCACGAAACACAGTAAGGTTGATGGGGACACGTCCGCTCTAAAGTTGTTATTTACATATGATGCCTGATCAGGCAACAACATTTGAGCCTGATTATGTTGACGACAATCACGTAATTAACACAACGATGCGTTGCTTAAATCATAGACAAATGATCTTCTTTCATATATTAGAGCACTCGTTACTCGTTAGTCCCTACCATAACCGAAAATAAGAACCCACCAATCAACAATAAATTCGACCCAATCAAACAATGGAATTTATATGCTGGAAAACATCTAATATGCTACATTTTATCAAGTTTCCAACAGCTATAATTATCAGTTTCATTCGCATCACAGTAAAGCTGATAACACCACAAAAAGCAGGGGACAATCAAGCTCTATGGTCTACTTTGCAGCCCATTTAGACATTGTCTCCCTGCGGTTCAGCTCTTGAGAACGATCGGTAAAATAATAATCAACATAAGAATCAAAATGACCGCTGCCAACGCGATCTTCATTTTCAGGTCGCGCAGATACATGCGGCGCTGAACCTGTCGGGAGCTGATGTAGAAATCATCTGATGTGGAGGCCAAGTGTTCCGACTGCTCCTCCAGCTGACTCAGGTTGGCGCCACGGTCCACGATTTTCTCCACGTTCTGGCGCATAATGCCGGTCACTTCGGAGACCTGCTCCCGGACGGCGGCCACCGAGTCGCGCTGCCGACCGGGCTGCGGCCCGCGCAGGAAGAAGTCGTCACCGCGACTGCCGTCCTCGGCACCCAGCAGCCCGGCACGTTCTGAGTCATCTGCTGCTTCATAGTCATCCAGATCTACCTTACTGCCAAGCCGAGGTTGCATCGTGTGTAAAGATGGGCTGATTGTGGGAAGATGTCCTGCACATGAAACAAAAGATGACAAAGTTAGAGCAATCCATACCAATACCCAAATACCCATTACATAACTTCCAATGTTTGAAGAGAGTGGAGAGTCAAGAGTGGGGAGTGGGCTGTGGGGAACCCAGGGCCAGGCCTAGTGGAGTTGAATTTGGAACCAAACTTAGGTAAAATAACAGCTAAATTATTTCAGCCATATGTGTTTTTTAGTGGGTGAGCTTTAAAGACATCAAACCATTCACATGTCCATCAAAATCAGAATCAGAATGTAGGCATTTAAAGCTCATCCAGACGATCACTGGTTTTTCATGTGCTCCAGTCAACATTGTGGGCAAAGCAGGGGCGGATCCAGCCGATCCGTTTGGGGAGGGCAAAAGTTTCCGACCTTTCCGACGACCCCTATCCGCCCCCGCACTGGGAGGAATGTAAAATAAATTTTGGATGGGGATGCAAAATTTTCTCAAGGGGCCCCACTGAAGGTTTTGGGCCCCTTTACTTTTTAAGCTGCCGATCATCGATTTATGAAAACCAAAAGTTAAGGAAACAATCCATACAGGAAGTTATCCAAAATGTTTGCATATTTCAGTGAGCCTAACAAAATCACAGCATACCTAAATAGTGAAATGCAACAAGTTTTTTTACTGGGTGATTTTTCTTATGCTAACCACCACCCGCAAGCCTCAAACCACTTTTCTGGATCCGCAGTGGACCTTTGAGAGCCCTACGGGTCCGCTCTTACAAGACCGTTAAAAAACCTCTGGAAACTGAATGACTCAATGGAGGCTCCTCCAGAAGCCTTCACGACTTCTCAGATTGAATGAGTCCCCGACCAGGGTCGGTTCCTCAGAAGGTGCTGAAGGGTTTCAGAAAGCAGCGTAGGCTCGAGAGTCTGGAAAGTTCTCAAAGACCGGCATCGGACCCAAAAAGCCTGTATGGAGGCCCTCAAAAACCGAGATAGAGGCCAAAGGAGCTGATGTTTAGCCTAAAGAACCGGTGTGGAGGAAAGGGTAGGAGTCTGAGTGAGGCCTTCAGGGGCAAGCGTTAGGGCCCCAAAAGTATGTGTGAGGCTCTTGGAGGCAGGTAGGTCCCTGGAGCGTTCATGGGGTCCCAAGAGCTCCCGTGTGAGCCCAAAAATTCGGCTTCATGTCCGTGGAACATGCATGGGGATTCTTAGAAGCCGCTTGGACACATATTTGATGGGTCGTGGGTACCAAGATCGATGTAATGGTCCTAAAAGCCGGTGTAGGGCCAAGAAGTTCCGGTGTTGAGACTCTCAGAGGCCGGCGAAGGGGCACCAGGAGCGGATACAGTGTCTCAACAAGCCTACATGGGACCTGACAATCAGTGTGGAATCCCACGAGCCTGCGTAAGCTCTCAGAGACCTTTGTAAGGCCCTCAAAGGTCGTTGTGAAGGGCCTCTGAATCTGAAATCTTCGCGGGGCCCCGAGGCCAGCGTGTCCCCTGCCTGCGTTAAGGCCCTCCAGAGGCCGTCGTAGGGTTCTTCATAGGCCAGCGTGGGCCCTTGGAGCCTTCGTTACAGGACTCTCAGAGGTCAGCATGACCCCTGCAGTCTGCCTGCGTTGAGGCCAGATCAGAGGCCGTCGTGGGGCCCTCAGACGCCAGCGTGGGCATTTGAAGCTTGCATTGGGTCCTAGAGATCGTCGTGAGGGCACTCAGTGAACGTCTCGGGTGGAATCACTGTGGAAATCGTTGTGAGGGCCCTTAGAAGCCTTCAAGAGGACCATCAGAGGTCATCATGAAGATCCTTGGCCATCATGACGGTCTTCATAGGCCCTGGGCCCTCAGGTATCTTTGCAAGGCCCTCAGAGGCTGTGGTAAGGACATCAAAGTCCATCGTTAGGGGCATCAAGAGACCGTCACAGGTTCCTCAGATGCCAGCATAGCCCCTGCAGCCTGGTTGTTTTGGGGCCCTCAGAGGCCGTCGTGGGCCGTCTAAAGCCCGATGGGCACTCAGACCTGAGATGGGTCTAGGACCGTGTCACGAGGGCCCTCAGAGACCGCCGTGGGGGCCCTCAGAGGCAGCGTAACCCCTGGAGTCTACGTGGGGTCCTCAGATGCCGTCATGGGGCACCAAACGCGGTTCAGGACACTCCTAGCCGGTGAGGGCCCCAAAGACCAGCATAGGGCGCTCCTGACCAACAACTGGACGTCTGATGATCGGTGATCCCACATGATCGTTCGTTTCCCGATCACTGGTTTTTAGGATTAAATGTATTTGGTGGTGTGACAGGCCTCTTATACGGCTTTTGGAGGGTGCAAAAAGCTATGTTTGCACTCCAATGTTTTCCATGGGTCTGGAGCTGAACCCCTGCACCCTCTATCCGGATTTCCGCTGCCCTTGAGCACCGAGATGACCAAACGACCTTACAACGCCACACTATCTACATGCAATCAGTTCAGGGACTTCGATCTATTAACAGCATTCTGGCATAAATCATCAGCAGCGAGCGTCCAGCTCCTTACTTCGGAATGGCCGTCACCGAAAGTCCTGCTTTTCGTCCAGATAGTCCTCGACACCGTATTCAATTTTATCATCTCTATATGCTTTGGGAGGGGCAAAAGGACAGTCTTGCCCACATGATTTAGCTTTGGGGAGGGCAAATGCCCATTTTGCCCTCCCCTGGATCCGCCACTGGGGCAAAGGACACTTAACCGGTAAAAGACACAATATGGGTAAAAGACACTTTTAAACATGTAAAACAAAAGTGGACGTGCTAAGATCAAAATAAAAGCTCCTATGCATTCATATATGTGCGTTCACCGCTGTAGCGTGCTAAGGTATTTCTTGACGGGCCCTCTGAACGCTGATATGCGGGTCTCCCTAATGTCCATCTTAAGGCCATTATCATAAAATCAAACCTGTGACATCAGCAAAAACTTTACTTCTGGTTAGCAACTGATTGAGCCAACTCACAGCTAAAAGGAAGCTGGATTGGAAGCTGGATTGCTATCATAAGAATGTATTTGGTTTTATAATAGCAAAAAGCAATTATACCTGGGTCATCTTTCTTAAACCTATGGCTCATTTCACTTTAAAATAATGGCCTCTGATCTTCTCTGTATTGATCTAAATCAAAATCGATCTAAATTGAAATTGTTTACTCATCATCATCATATCAGTATCTTTGTTGAGCCTTTATCTTGGAGAGATTTGTTGTCTATATTAAAAGTCGGTCAAAGCTGAAAATAACTCTAGCGGCAAAAATTATTATTTTTTGAGTCTATCGAATTTTTTTTTTTGGGGGGGGGACCCATTACCATAAACTGAAAGACAGGGGCGACAGTAGGTACTGGATACGCGATAATACGAGTGCCGTCACGAGCGGTCCAGAGGGCTGTTCACGGGCCCTGTGTGCGGTCGGACCGCACACAGCCTCCAAGCTCCGCCCACTGCGTCCCTACGTCAGCCTTCCGTCACCGCACACAGCGACCGCTGTGGCCGGTCAGGACTGGCCACAGCGAACCGTCCACCGCACGCAGCCGTGACGTCAGAGCCGCCTACCCATCCCCTACCCCCACGCCTGCTGGACGCTCCGCACACACCGCACGCAGCAGTGTGCGGTGCCCGTGAACACCCCTCTGGTCAAAGCATAGCTATAAGCTTATCAGCAAATAAGTCTACAGCATTACCTTTCCCTAAACCTACGAAATTTGTACGAAAACGCACAGCACAACATGGGACATCACCGCAACGAAGTTAGTTACGTTTCGTGCAATTTGTGAGCCATATTTTGTCTCAAAAAGAGCTTTGTGCGCTATGAATGAAGCGGTAACACATCGCTTTAGATGGCATTGATTATTTGTCTTAGCAGTAATTAAGTTGATTCAATTTTTAACTTAAAAAAAAAAAATTATGCTATCTTTAACTTTATTTGTACAACATAGAAGCAAAAATAATCATTTCAATTACAATTTTTTAATGTCGAAGAAGAATACTTATTTTGCGCAACTGCGACAGATATTGAGGTCTTTAGTGCAATAAGACTCATTTTATTCTATGATCGAGCGTACCATCAACCTTATTATTACAAATTTCCGCTTGTGGGGCGGGGATCAAGCGCGCGGCGAAACGATAGTAATTACAATAATGCAATTGGTGATATTCGTGCCCTGCTACACTTAAATTCAAACTTCATACAAACATGTATTAGCGCGTGTGCATATTAACATTATTACAGTGATTCATTTAAATATTTTACTGGTTCTTGGTCTGATACCGTGGTCTGGACTGGGAAGCATTCTTGCCAACAAGCATCGATCCAGCTCAAACTGCTTGGGATTTTTCAAGGCTTATAATTTGACAGGTCAGTCGATCCCCATTGTTTTCACTTTTCATTTTGCAAAATCATGGTTGCAATATGCATGGCTTTATGAACTTCATTTTGATTTAACGGATATGTCTAATGTCACCACAGGCCAGACTGGAAAACTAGGTACATTGACATGGTGTGTCAAATATGACTGGCTTATTCAGTTGGGGAAACTACGAGGAGCCAAACAAAAATTGGATAAGCCAATCAGCGGCTGGAGTGGGCGGGGCGATGACCATATATGGTCATAAAATCAGACAACTTCATCTTTTCGATGAATCCTAGCATTCAAATGAAAAAATAAGGCATAAGAATGTTTTTTTAACCACACAAGACCTACACTCACTCGGTGCATAATTAACTGGCGGCTCTAAATCGCAGAGTTACAACGCAAGGTCAAACCGTGATTGGCAAATATGGCGGATTGAAACAGACGCGCCAAAAAAATGTAAGCAGTACAGTGGTTTAAAAATGTCATTATTTTTATTATTTTGTTTATGGTTTTTCTAATTGTGGTTAAGTCATTATTTTAAAATTAAATATCTTTGTTTATTGTAGCTAAATTAAATCTTTTAACAATTTTCTTTCATAAAACCAATCCATTTATTGAATGGCCAGCTGATTGTGACGCCCAGAACCTACAGAAAAGCCGTTTTCCTATCGCCATTTTCGAGTCAATTCGCCGAATTCAATCAAATCACGCTAATTCCTAGTGAAAAATGGAAGCCTTTTCTCTCCAATAAGTGGACGCGATACCGCAAGTACCGATTTGTTATACCGTTTTTCGCCCTTAGTAGCGGGGGCTGCATTTATGCCCATATATGGTCATCAAAAGTCCATTTATTGACCAATCCATTTTTTGACATTCGCCTCGTAGTTTCCCCAACTGTATTGGCAGGGTTGCGCTGCTAATTTAAAGGGACCCTCCCACCTTCAAAAAAGTTAATGAATTGGCATGAAAGTGATGTCGCTCGGTTCAGAAAGAGCAAAAACGAATATCTACCAAATTTCATCGAAAAATATTCACCGGTTTTCAAGATATTAGACTTTTACTTTTGTTTACTTTTTGGGATCTCCGCTGTTCCTAGCGACTTTATTTGAAAGTGCGGCATTTGTTGCGCGCAAAGCAGCATATACCACCGCGTGCTACCAAACGTTTTAGTAAAAGATTTAAAATCGTTAGATCTCCGCTGACGTCACAAATTCTAAGGGGGCATACCAATGCATTAGCCCCTTAGAATCCGAAAACTGCAAGTTTGAAATTCGATATCTCCGAATTAAAGCATTTTTCGATGTTGTGAGTGCCCAAACCGGTATTTTCAGGCCATGGCCACCAATTTGGCTATCTCAACTCAAATCTAATGTTAAGGTGGGAGGGTCCTTTTAATGCATGTCCGGCATAACTTTGCATGCGCCAAATTCAAGGGCGGATCTAGGGGAACGTTTTGGGGGGGGTCACCAGTCGGCCGACATGCCAGGTCTGATGAATGAATTCTGACGACCGGGGGGGGGGGGGGGTAGGGAGCGAGTATGTCGAGATCAAATGACATTTGATCTTCGTCGTTTCTGAGTTGAAGTTTTATCGTAAGTCACTCGGCTCAGTAGTTTTAGTTAGTGAAACCCACCTATAGAGGAGCGTCGCCACGGATTTTTTTACTGGGGGGGGGGGGGGGGGCGGATCGACCGACTTAAAAACCCAGAAGTAGTAGATATAGTTACCTCACTTATGCATTAGTCTAATGCCCAATGCATTAGTAGCATACAGTCACGATCTCTCTTATTGACCTGTGTATGAATCGGCGGCGCGAAGCGCCGCAAAAATTTGAAAAAAGTTGTCAAAACACAGCTCTAAAACACAAATATTACAACCCTTTTAGCATGCTAGTACAAGCCGGAGTTCCTTCACAGTGCACATATGAATTCCGATTCAATTTGACACGGTTGGTGTTATTACAGTCACGATCTCTCTTATTGATTGGTGTATAAATCGGCGGCGCGAAGCGCCGAGAACATTTGCAAAAGAATGTGTCAAAACACAGCTCCGCTCCAAAACACAAATTTTACCACCCTTTTAGCATGGCAGTACAAGCCGGAGTTTCTTCACAGTACACATATGAATTCTGATTCAATTTGACACGGTTGGTTTATGTAATTACAGTCACGATTTCATATTGACCTGTACGTATGTACATGAATCGGCGGCGCGAAGCGCCGCGAAAAATTTGCAAAAACATTTGTCAAAACACAGAGGGGGTCTCCTCTCTACAGAGGACCACCGATCTCTACTGCGGGCCTCCTCTTTTCACAGGGCCTCTTAACTACAGAAGGCTTCCTCTCTACAGAGGGCTTCCTCTCTACTGAGGGTCTCTCCCTTTCAGAGGGCCTCCTTTACAGAGGACCTCCTCTCTTCAAAGAGCCAGAGGACCTCATCTCTGCAAAGGGCTTCCTCTCTTCAGAGGGCCTCTTCTCTACAGAGAGCCTCCTTTCTTCAGAGGGCCTTCTCTCTACAGCGGGTCTCCTCTCTTCAGAGGGCCTTCTGCATTCAGGCGGTCTCCTTTCCACAGAGGGTCTCCTCTACAGAGGGCCTCCTACCTACTGAGGAGTCAGAGGGGCCGACACAGACACTAGCGGTTATTCACTGGAGGCCCCAGGAAGTAAGAAGGGCCCTAGCTGTCAGGCTGGTCAGAGTGCCCTGAATGTCCTGACGTGATTTTTGGGATTCCCGTGAATTTCTTTCGCCTCCGACGTGATTTTGACCTGCCAGGGCCCAGGGGCACTAAAAATAAAACAAACAAAATAAAAAAATGGAAATAGGACATCACCAAAATTAAGTGGCCGAAATCCGTTGAGTTTTTAATTTTGCGTATAGGTAGGGGCACCACGAATTAAATTCATGACCATCCCCTTGGAGTTTTCCTGGATCATCCCCTGGTGCTCGCACGGTTGAGACAAAAATGAGTAAGATTCTGGCCTTCAATAGGGGAGAGTGGGGCAAAGCGGCCACCCGGGGCAAAGCGGCCACCCATCGTTTTAGCCCTTCATAGCTGGCGTCAGTTCCAATTTATGATTTCCAATTATACTTCTCTTCACGGTCGTTCGAATGAGCCAGACCGGGGTTTCAGGCCCATCACCATTGTTCTGTGAAACACGGAAAAGCATTTCTTGCCAGGTTACCAACTATGTTTACAATTTTTAAATGTTATGTTATTCCATAACCGTTTGGAATATTTATAAGCGTTCTTGTCCATGCGTTGCATGGTTATCGTACATGTATTATGCCAATTTTAATGTTTGTTACCCCACTAATAGCTAAGCTGGAATATTTTTATCTCGGACGGTATGCGCGGGGCAAAGTGGCCGGGGCAAAGTGGCCACCCCCCAATTGGCCATAAGTTGCTTGCGTCTGGATAAAAAACATTATTTATATTCAAATGTGTCGTCATGCATTCATCTTGGCCACTTTTCAGTTGCATGAGTTACCAAATAATGCAATTAAATGTTTATTTTCATGAAAATCCTTTCTTTGTTTACCTACAGGTGGAAGATGATAAAGTAAAAATTCATCCTCGCTTAACCTTGTCACCATCAAATGCCCTAGTCGTACACGAGGCAACTATTTTGTTTCTCATATCGGGACTTGAGAAGACGCCGGTGGCCGCTTTGCCCCAGGGTATGGGGCAAAGTGGCCAATATGCATAGGTTTAAAGTTTTGTCAATATCTTTCATATGTGAACGCCTTTGGAAATAAAACGCAGTTGAAATAAAAGGCAACTTAATAGGGATCACATTGGTATATAAAGAATCTTTCTAAGTTTAAAAATCAAGCGTTGACATCGTGAGAAGCGTTAGGGTGGCCGCTTTGCCCCACTCTCCCCTACGCCTTTTCACGCAACACGATCCAGAAAAACAAAGGTATTAGCTCAGAAGTGTTTGACATGTGATTTTGAGCATGCAAGACGGCGTCTATAGCGCATTTAGGTCTTCGGCTTTTGGGGGGGGTCAAATGACCCTCTCAGACCTTTTGGGGGGGGTCATGACCCCGTGGACCCCCCCCAGGATCCGCCACTGGCCAAATTCAGCACATGGTGGGGCTGAGTTTTTCGATGCAGGGCGATCACAGAATTTCTTGGCAAAAGATTGTCACCAAATTTAGTTGGCACGCTGATCAATATAGCATTAAGCAGCAGATTCACCCTGCGGGCGGCCCTGCAAAGTGCAAAGGTTTCGGGACGAGGCGTCCCACCTCGTTTGTCGCATGCTCGAACTTGTGAGCCGCCCTGAGTCTACCCTTGAGTCTACCTATTCAGCGGTGGAGCGACCGCCCAGGTGAGGGTGACACCTCAACCCTTAGCGTGGAGATACGTATGGAAGACCTTGTTGAACATTGTCGAGCGTCGTTAAGTAATACTGCAGTGGGTTCCTGCCC